GATCAATGGGTGGATGGATGGGTGGATGGATGGATGGATGGATGGATGGATGGATGGATAGATCAATGGATGGATGGATGGATGGATGGATGGATAGATCAATGGATGGATGATGGATGGATGGATGACTACTGGTCAGAGAGAGATCTGATGACATCCAATGGACTAATTAGCTCAAGTAAAATAGTGAATATATGTTTAATGTGTGTGTGGAGCTGATCCAGTGTAACCAAACTATGAACTGAAAATGAAAAATAATTCTTTGCTCCATTCTAAATACTAATAATTCATTAAAACGACTATGTGAGGTCCTGTTCCTCCAGGAAAATTAAGCTTTAACTTTTCCAGTCCTGATAACACCTGCGGGGACTTGGATACATGTATATGATGATTCCCGATTTTTACAAAATAAAATTTGTTTTTTCTTTTGTTTTTATTGCTTTGTGGCGTTACAGCTTTGTTATACTGCACAATGGACATTTCTGAGTTCTCCGTCCTCCTGGCTATGGTTGGGCTGCTTCCATAGAGGTGCAAGACTTTATATTACAGTGAAAAATGAGCCCACAGTTTGTGTGACAGGAGTAAAGAGAGTGAAACAGAGCAGAACCAGCTCTGGTTCAGAGGGAAGGATCGCACAGTCCACATGTAATACGCATTCACTTTGGTCACTATCACTATAGCTGAGGTTTCAGACAGGTTTCAGGCAGATTCATGTCCGTGTGGTGTGAAATCACTGTGTTCAGATGTGAAACCCTGACTGGACAGTGCTGAGCAGCTCTATCAGAACCAGAGGGGGAGGAGGCTGTTGGCTCATTAGTGTGAAGGCGCTTGCCCAGAGCCGCTGGCATAAAGAGGCAAAAACATGGAATGAAAGATATTTTCTTTTAATGAACGTCTGCAGGCAACCAGATCGAAGTGCCATGAACTAACCTCGTCCTCCGTCCTGACGTAGTCCACTCCGTCCCCTTTAGCCGGAACCTTGTAGCTGGGAGACACAAACAGAACCACAGTTTTATGGAAGCTGGGTCAAAGCAGAGCTGCTGAGGAACAAACACACACACGCACACGAACACACACACACACTCCTATGTGTTGATCATGTGACTGTGAGGATGTTCTGATGTCTTACTTGTTCCCTGTTTGTTTCTGGCTGGAGAAGTAGCCTTGCTTGTACGCGCAGCAGATCCCCACCGTTATACATGTGAGCACTATTACCACCACCAGCACTCCCAGTATGATCCCCAGAAGATCAATATCATCTGTGGAGTTCAAGCAAGAATGAAGAAAGTTAACAACAATGTGAGGACTGATCCTACCAGCAGGACCGTGGTGTCCACACATTCTCACTGGTTGGACCATCGCTGGTGTTACTTCATCAGGAGGAAAGCGCTGCATCCACAGCCTTCCAGGAACAAACACCTCCTGTTTCCACCACTCTGAGCTGAACTATACGATGGAACTGGTAGGTCCAACATATCTAACATTCACTGGATGTTTACTTGGAGTCGACTCCAGAGTTACTGACACCACGTCATAGAAGCAGTCGGTGTGGCTGCGTTTTGTTCCAGCTGATGACCAGAACCTGGACTGCAGTCTGTAATCACAGTTTAATAGCCAACATGGCAGATTATCTAAAGACAGCTTGTCTGTGTTATATTCATTAATAGTCCTCAGATCACCAGACACAGTTCTGTTCCCAGAAATCACATGAAGCTACAGGCAGGCACACGCTGGTCCGATCCGAGCCCGCTCTTATCGTTTCACTATAAACAACCAGGTTCAGATGATGTATCCACGCTGATAAGGCCAATAAGGCGAGACGATGTGCAGATTGTTTTTCTCACCTCCTGACTGTCTGAAGAGCAGCTGTGGTTCACTACAGGCCCACTGAACAGACAAAGTTCTGACTTGTTTTGAACTGACCTGATGTCAAACATCACCAGCTCCTCTGCTAACGACCAAACATGTTTCAGCAGCGTGTCCGTGTCACACTTACAGACTTCCATCTTCTGGGCTGTACACTCAGCGTATCCCGCATCGTTCTTCGCTCGGCAGAAGTACTCGCCTGCATCTTCTTTCCTGACTGCGATGAACTTCTGCATGAGAGAAATCACAAACATATATTTGATTACTGTCAACCGCTAAAGTGAAACCGCCCTGTCTTCGGTTCAGTCAGCCGTTGTTCAGACATTGTTCAACATACTGGATCATGACTATTCTACTATGATGTGTGTTTAAAACAGATAAAGGTGGATGTGAACAGCCAGAAGCAGGCTGTAGGTGCAGGCAGCATGGAGGGAACAGCCAGAGAAGGATCCATCCTGTGATAACACACTAAATGTCATTTCCATGTCAGGGCAAGTTAAAGATGAAACCTGGCCAAACTCCAGCGCTGCACTTTCCTAATATCAGAATAAATCCTCTGTGATTTGGTGAAGGAGCTGCAGTACCAATAACACATCAGAGCAGAAGTACTCAGTCACATACTGCAATGTGTAGAGTAGATATTTATAGTCTCTTCAGTGAAGGAAGAAAAATTCCAAAAAACGCTTCGACAACTTTCTAAATATTTTCAGAATGAGACTTTTGTGGCCCAGATAATGTGATCCAGTGCATTATGAAAGCCCAACATGTGTCACCAGCTCCAGCCTCCACACATCAGCTGACTGGCGTTACGTTTCCACACGGGAGCAGCCGAGGGAGTGATAACCGTGTTTTCAGTGAAGCGTCTAAAAATAACGAGATAAGTACGGTAGAAAAACATTCCCCAAACCCCCGACCAGTTTCCAGCTACGACTAGCGACACATTGACATGAAGGCAGCCAGACGACGGCGCGGTGGCTCGCTGTGGTGCGTCACATCTTAGAGGCCAGCATGAAGGTTGACAGAAGAGCGCTGGAGCTATGCTGGAAAGCAAACGAGAATTGAGGAATGTGCAAACGAGGACAGCAGATTCCCCTCATGGCTCAAGCCCTCTCGCACCATCAACTGTCTCCCCAAAATATCTGCCCCCACCCCTGGGCGCCAGGCCACCGTCCCCGCTGCCCTGCTGCCCCGCCCTCCCCGCTCATGCGTGTCCTTGTCCAAACACATGCGCACACATACTGACCAGAGTTCCTGTGTCTGCGTTGAGCGTGTACGAGGAGTTGAAGAACTTGAGGCTGGTCTTGGGGTCGTCTGGAATCTCCTCCCTGTTCTTGAACCACTGGTACTGAGACTTGGGGAAGCCCTCGTCCTCCACACAGCTCAGCTCGGCCGACTTCCCAAAAGGCACCGATTTTGGGACGCTGCATTTTGGCACCACCGGCTTCACTGTGGCGACACCAAACATACGATGACGGTCACTGCACTGAGCTTTCACGGGGAGCTTTACACTTCAGACGCGTGTTTATGTTCTGTGAGCATCACGGCGATAAACAAACCGACACAATCCACATAATGCTGCCAGGCTTATGATTGACTTTGATGCTTTAAAAAAAACAATGTCACCCTGACCGCTCATGGTTCACTGGACTGACAGCACTGACAGGACCGGACAGGAACACGGTTTTTGGCCCGTGCCAGAAAACGCCACCAAAACACGCGGCGCTTGCTTTCTTTAGCACTGCAATTCAAAGCAGATGCAGTTTCAGAGGTTTCCTCTTATAGCCCAGAACACGCCTTTGCAGCTGGGCAGGTCTGGTCATAACGCATCCTCGTATGTATGCCAAAGGGTTGGTGTGACCTACAACACGGTTTCGTTTTACAGCATCCGAAGTGTGAATCACTATGTGAGGTCTCTTTTATAAGAGCACAATAATAGCTTGTTTTCTGTGCTCTGAATTATCTTCGTCTTGTTTTCATAGATCACAGCTTTAATTCTACATAGAGGCTGAAACACACCTCGTACAACAAGGTCGATCACAATCTCATCAAATGACTTCTGGTCGTCAGCAGCGGTGACCTCACACCGATACTTGGCGGTGTCCGACCGTGTGGCGTTGGTTATCAGTAGCGTGGCCGGTTCTCTGATCACCGCTCGGTTCTCCAGGTCACCTGTCAGAGGACACGTCAGGAAAACATGTAAAACTGTTTAAAGACAAAAGTACATGACAGAGACGTGTTCAGGCATCTCCTGCTTTACCTGAGATCTTCTTTTCAAAGTACACATAACTTGGTCCCTCACTCGTTATCTTCTTCCACTCAATCCTGGGATTGGTTGTAGAAATGGACTCAATCAGACACGACAGCTCGATTTCTGTGGGACGGAGGAACACGGACTGATGTGAGGAACATCGTTAAAACCTGCTAATTGTTTCTGCATGGGGGGTGGAGCGGGTGGGGTATTTATTTAAAAAGCTCTTACTGTCAAACTCGTCTGTCCACGGCGACCCGTCATTTGTTCTCAGCACCACTGCCAACACACTGAAGCAGCCTGCAACACAGGAGGACAAGTCAACATGAGATGAGCAGGAACGCTCTGATGAAGTGATGAAGTCATGCTGTACGTCCACTGATCCTGGGTCTGCTGGAACCCTGGAACACTGTCTTTGGGGACGTCTGTGATGCTTTCACTGATCTTAAGTTTCACCATTAACGGGAACATAAATGTCAATCCCACATCAGCGTGGTGATCTGAACACACAGGCTCTATCTGGCCTCGTTCTCTTACCGTCAATTTTCCATTTTTAGTTGTGTTGCTTAAACCATTGTGTATGTGTGTGTGTGTGTGTGTGTGTGTGTGTGTGTGGAGGGTGGGGGTGCTGTTTCTATGCACAGTGGATAATTGCGCAGGGAGGCATGTGCCCTTTTCAGGGCAAGCTCACCATGCCAGTAGTTCAACTGCCTGCCGAGCCCTCCTCTCTCTCTCCCCCTCTCCTCTCTCTCTCTCTCTCTCTAACTCTAACGCTCTCTCTCTCCCTCTCTCTCTCTCTCTGGGCCTGATGCTGCTGCCCATGCCGGACTAATGGTGCAGATGCACCCCAGAAAGATGTGAGGGATAGGGCCTTGGGAAGGGCCACTGCTGAATCATCCTGACAGCCTTTGGTCCACAAACACATCCACGCAGAGTCACTTCCACATGAATGTTACCGAAGCACCGCGCTCATCACCACTTCCTGAATGGAGGGTCACTGAAAATCTGTCGCGTATTAAACGTATGTTGTGCTGTACAACAGAAAAATGCTGCTTGCTGCCTTATTGGTAGCATGGATGCATGACTAACCGGGCCTCCGAGCTACAGGCCCGCGGACCTCGGACCAGACCAATTATATGGAGTGACTACGAACATTTCTTGTTGGAATATCAGGGAGGAAAAACATCCAAAACAGGACGCAAGAAGAACAGAGCTAGTCACAGAAATACACACAATGAAAGAAAACTAAACATTAAGCATGACTAAAAGAGAAAAGACGTCTCAGTCCAGTCGGCAGATATTCATCATTCCTAAATGTGTAATAATAATATAGTCAAACATTAGAATATTGGGGCCGTTCTGTGTCAGTTCATTTTGATCAGTGCCGTCTCAGAACCATCTGGGCTGTAAAGATGGATCCAGAATATAAATGAACATCTTTGCAAAAAATACAAACGTGCAACACAAAATTGAAGATAAATCAATTCTGAATTTGTTGATGTAAATTAATAACATTATTTAATTTTGCAGGTTGGAACCCGTCATCATAGATTGTATATAACGTACATGCCTGTAGGATAAGATGGAAACCTTCCATTTATTTCTGACTACACAGCTACACGTTATAACAATGTGATTTATTCGCCAACATATCTATTAAATTATATTTCAGTTTATGATATAAAACAACAATATTTCAGAAACTGTTTGTTCATAAGTTCTCCAGCCTAGTTCAGGGTTCCCACTCTTATTTTCCAGGACTTTTTACAGACAGGACTTATCCCATCATACCAAACATGTCGCCCAGTCCCCTCATTCTGATAATTAGGTTTCAAATCATAGCTACTACAGTGGATTTCTGCTTGTATATGTTGAGGATGATCCATCTTTATGTTACATCAAACCACCGGTGGCCTTAATGCTCCACAGATATTCATGAAGGTTTGTTAAAGGTAAAAAAAATCTAACATTAGGTCATGATATCCCCCCAGATAGCATCAGATCTGGTCATTCTGGTCTGGTAGACGAGCTACACTCTACACCATGATGGAGATAAATCATGTATTAAAAAGCTTTATGAAATTACTAAACTTGCTCCGTGCACGGTGGTTATAGTTTGATCAGTCGTATCCAAACAGCTGTGGTGTCTGGGATGTAAACCTATGTCCCATCTAAAGCAGTGCATTTAATAACTGTGTATTTGTTTTGTTCATTTAAAAACACGCCTCAGCCTGCTTCAGAGCCCCAGTCTGCCCTCACATTTACCAGTTTCTAATCCCTCCATGCGTTTGTACAGTCGGGCTGTCGGCTACTAATTAGGGGCAAACGGGGTGTTGGGCCTCTCATTCAAAGAAAACTGCTCAAACAAGGATAACCTGACCTCCGCCAACTGTCATCTGAACACACAGCCGTGTGTGCGGTCACCTGCTAAAGCAGACAGGCTAAGCTGATTAGCCCACGGTCTTTCTGGAGATCATAACAAGACGACAGCTTGTTTTTAGCTGCTGCTGACAGGAACAACGCTGAAGAAGAAGGTCACACCCACGTCTCACAATAACCACGTCTCACAATAACGCTAATATTCATTTGGTCTCAGACTTTAGAGGGATGAAAACACATTATTTCCAGCAGTCTACAAGCACTTCCTGGGCGAAGCAGTTCAGGAGCAGGACCCAGACCAGCCCCGGGTGCTGCTTCGCTCATGATCCGGACCTCTTAGTGCAAAGAAGTACCGTCGTGTGGCATCTGAAGCTACTGATCATTTCAATGCAGTGCTCTGCTGGGAAACATTTTGTGGACTCTGACAGACACCATCCATCTAAAGCAAGCACACCACAGCCGATGGAACTGGGTAAAGGCTGGAGGAACTGACCAAGAGCCCACGGGGTTGAGCCGGATTCCCCCGGATCACCGGACCAAAGCTGATCCACAGAGGCCGGATCCGAGTGGTTTTAATGCTGTGACGGGTTGATCTATTTGGTTCTGTGCTACGGCAGCGAAGACAATAAAGTTTGATCCCAAGAGGGAGAGCGCTATCTCTACACACTACATGAAAAAGTTTCTGACAACCTAAAAAGTGGAGAACTTCAACAAAGACGTGCACAGGATGAGGATGAGAGTTGTGTTCAGAGGAATCCAGAGGAAGCCTGTCACCTATTTAGCTTCCTCTCCACGGCGCTGCAGAAAGGCATTTGGCTTGTGGCAGATTTAAAAGCTGTGTGCAGAGAAGAGATGCTTCTCAGCTTCCATGGTTACTGCAAGCTGCTCATACTGTAGCTACGTTCTAGGACAAAGTCAGTCATCATCTGAAGAAAGATAACTGAAGGGTAACTCTCCTCTTCATGCTGAAAGGTTAGACTGAATCCATGTTCGCACAACAACGCAGCCAGACACCTGCTGTTCAACAGAAACCCTGCCAGTTATCTTAATTCATGCGTGAGGCATGTACTATATTTAATGTTTCTGACAAAAGCTTATGCGAGTGAGGCATGACAGCACTGACTTCGTGGTTTAGGTTTCAAATGCACTGCGTGTACTGTGTAACTGAATACCAAATCTAACTAGGCCAAGTATGCCAAGAGTGCAGAACATCAGAATATGCTGTGTTGAAATAGAATCCAAAGTTGACAATAAATTATTTCAGGCCATTAATTTAGTGCAACGACTTTCCATGAAACGCAGCAACCAGATTCATGGCTGGCCTGACGGAGCTAATGGAGCTTCACCCCCGTCCCCGTCTTCCCCAGTCCAGATAGTATTAGTGCAGATTAGGTGCCTAAGTGAGCCTGACGTAGAGATAAAAAGCTTCAGAGATCTGTAGTAGAAACAGCTGTCCAGGAAAGAGCATTAAACCCCCACTCATGAAGAGCGGCGGACACACATCAGCCGTGACTTCAGGATGAAATAAATAAAATAAATCATCAGTTGTTGTGTATTACACAAAAAACCCAGAAACACCGGCGTCGCTGCTCGATGTCATAATAATATGCTGTCAGTCCGTCTCGTCACCAACCCTCGGCTCCGGCTGACTTTACACAACATCCACTAAATGATCTATTTTTAAGAAGTGTTTGTTTATTTGGTACTCATTCGATCACAGCAGAACATACAGCGGAGCGTCACTGTCACGCAGCCTAAAATCATTTCTACAGCTGAAACAAAAAAGTAATTAACTGATCAGGAAAGCTGATTTTCATAATCAAGTTCTAATCTCAGCGATTTTTCATGCACCGTGTGCTCGGTTCAGCTCCTTCACTGTGAACATTTGCTGTGTTTGCATGCTGGGATCATTCACTGCTGTGTTTGGGGAGACTGTCGGTAAAGACTCTGGTAAAAGTTCGTTACTTTCTGGACATTTTACAGAGAACAGGAAAGCTAAACTCCTAATTATTTAATGACAGACATGTTCCAGACTGAGAGTGGATTCTAACTGACAGTAAACCTGAAGAAATCTGACAATATTCAGGCTCTCTAAACTGTTCTTCATCATGCTGTAAGACTGACAGCTGCTGTCTGGTCATCACCGCTCCATCAACCACAAGAAAAGCAAACGACAAACAACCGACTTTGGATCTGAAGCCCTCCCCTGGCAGACAGACCGGCTGGTTCCAGACTATCTGAGCAGTCCATTTCACAACTGCTTTCTCCTGGGTAACCTTTCAGCAAAGGTTGCATCTTTTTTCCACTGTGCAACAACAAGACACAGCTGGACGGCCAGTGAAGTATCAGGAAGTGCTGACTGTGTGTTATGAGAGCGGTGCTTCCCAGCTCTCCTCCAGGCCGTCCGACACATCCTTCCCTGATCGTGTCCAACCCGTCCTGTCTCCTTGAATAGCCTCCCACTCTCCTGTACCGGCAGAGTGATATGTGTGTGTGGTCATCGTGGAAATGGACTTCTCTCCTTCTGCTCCTTGGTTGGACACAGCTGTGTGCGATCTGGCAATCTGCAAATCTGCATTAAAGTTTTTTTTTTTAATCTTCTTGCCGCCTCCGTGATGGGCGCAGGGTTTTCTCTGTAATCTTAGCGTAATGCCCTCATAAACCCCCCAGGTTTTACATCACTGAATAATACAATAGGCACAGAGGAGCGGGTATTTCTTGATGCCTGCACTGTGTAATGAAGCCCTTCTTCTTTCTCTGCTGTCTCCTGGGAGGCCGCGCTTGTTTCCGGTGCCGCCGCCGCCGCTCGGTGAATCCAGCGAGGTGAGGCTGGTTTCATAAATAGAAAGGTTCAATTAAGCAACCGGTGATATTCCCTGTGGAAAAGCTCAATCCTCGTGCCTGTGGAGAATATTCCCACG